CACAGCAAGGACAGAAGCCGTTGAAATTAAAAAAGTAAAATTAATTTCGCAACATTAATTACGTTTAGCGGTGTTCCAGTTTTACAAAATCAAATGTACCTAATAATTCTTCCCCACACAGCCCGAGCTAATATTCTTCAGCTAGAGTATGTCGCGTACACAATCTAATAACCCGGCTCCATCATAATAGCCGCAGCAATCCCCGTCGTGGGATCCTGCGTGATTAAACCGTTCGCAGCAGCGTCGGCCTGCTGCTCTTCCTTGACAAATGAACGCAATTCAGCGTCTCGTTGCAAAACAGCGCTTTTCTGTAAATGGCCTCTGCTGCTCTTTCGGCCTCCGGAGTACGTCGCTCGCCGCCAGACCGGACAACAAGCGAAAAAGATATATACAACCGCGCCGAGCAATATATGCCATCGGGGCAACCGTTCATTTGTCTGCGATGGGACACTGGACATACGAAGTGGAAAATACCATACTGGAAAACACTTTTGGTGAAAAATCGAACGAGGTGAATTGAGAAATCATTCACGGAGAATTACGTCAGAATCAAAAGAACTTTTTTTTTTCTTATAAGTTACAATCTGTCTAAATAGAAAGACATTGATTGAGTAATTAGTTTGACAAATAACATATTAAATTTTAAAACGAAAACCCGAAAACGAAAACGTTTATTAATGTACTAAATTATAATTTAATTTTGGTATAATAAAGAAAAAAAAGAAACTCGAATATACATACAATTATAAACAAAGTACATTACACAGACTACATATACACATACATACACACACACCTATTTTAAATAATATGGCAAAACAACTTATTATTGATTAATGTGTTAGATCTATTAATTGTATTCTTTTGAATCTTATATTATGTGTGGCGTTGTAAAGACTTGCTATCAGTTCGTTTGGGAAGTGGTCAATTAGTTTACTTTAGCAGCACCCCATAGATGGATGCCATACATCCAAACTGGTTTGAGAATAACTTTGTACAATAAAATTTTATTGCACATCGACAGTTTTGATCTAATAAAAAGAATATAAAGCAGAAACATTTTCTACATGAACATCATCTAACGCCTAAACAACTAGTAGTGCATGGCATCGTGCCTGAAGGAAAATTGCTGGCAGTGCCCGTACCAGAATTAAATATACAGTAATCAGAAATCAATAAATATTGATCAATAATTAATACCAATTGTAATAAATATTTTCAAAGAGATAATTAAAATTACTATATGAGTATAACTTTCAACCTTGTGCAAGAATTTTGAGCTTTCAGAAGCGAAATTCGTGCAGCTAGTATGATTATTATAATATTACTATCCTTTTAATATTAACTATGAATAAGCTTGACAAGAGCCTGAAATAATATCTATTATTATTGATTACGGCTTGCTTATGAATAAATAAATAAATAAATAAATAAAAATATATATTAGGTTGTCAAATATCTCCCTTCCGCCTTTTTGTATTATAAAACAAGAGCAAAAAAGCGGAAGGGAGATATTTGACAACCTAATATTTTATGCTTCTTATAATATACAGTGACGATATTATAGCACTTTAAAACACGTAGGAATGTTTACATTAACAAGAGATGCCGAGTGAATTCGTCTGAGAATATGAAGGATGAAACTTTGTATATTTTTGACAATTTTGAAAAAAAATCTAAAAATTTTGAAATTTGTTTGAACTTTAAAAATTGAAAATTTTGGTATAGAACCCCGAAAATGTCTCTATGTCAGACCAAAGCAAGTTATAAGCGTCCAAAAACAAGTACATACGTATGAACATCATACGTATACATATACATATTTCTTTAAAAAAAAATCAGAATATAAAAATATTGATAAAATATATAAAATTTTAGATTCTCATTCAGAGGTCATCGACTGTTAAGGTTGTAACACCCGTTTAACATGGCATTGTGATCTAAAAAAATCCCGTCTTTCGCGTTTTTTCAACATATTCCAGGAAGTCCTATATCATGGTCTGTACTGGCACTTACATGACTATGTTCGTAGAGTATCTGAAACGTTTATATTATTTAATTAAATCCGTACAGTTGCTGCGCGACTATATACAATCCGCAAGTTGTTCCGCCGCCACCCATTCGGCTGCAACTGATTGTCAGAAGGTACGCAAAGTGAGGGAACTGCATACTACATTCTGTTAATATTTGAAGAAAATTTACTCAAGATTTTTATAATTTTAATCCAAATGTGAAAATAGATGACGCAATGTTCATTAGTTGGCCATTTCATTACAAATGCCCATATTGCATTCAAAAGTCTACCTTCCCTGAATATATAATAGCAAATAACAATCATAGGCTCTGCAAAATATATTTTTTTTGTCTTTTATGAAAACATCTATGATTTTTTCATTATTATTTAACTTGTGGCTTCAATGAGCTGTGTGACGATTTGACTTGAGAGTAGGCAAACAGCTGTCCACCTCTATGTGATAAATTTTTATCATTACAATTTCTATGCATCATAAAACCCGTTTGGACTTACGGTATCGAGTTATGGAGATGCGCAAGCAAATCCAATATAGTAACGATGCAAAAATGTCAAAACAAAATACTAAGAAATATAGTCAACGCACCGTACATAACTAACCAGGCTATTCATAAAAATTTAAATATTCCATACGTCACAGATGCCATCAAGGACAGAAGGATTACAAATGATGACCTCAACATTTCTTATGAAACAGATAGTTACTAGTCGCACCAGAAGAAAGGCTAATCTGAATAAGTTTATATTACTCGTTAATTTATAACTATAAGTGTTAAGCAATATATGAGTTAAAATATCAATATAAAATTTTTATTTTAAATAATAATGCTTTTTAAAATTAGGATCAGCTCTCCCATTTTACGCCGTGTTGTGTTCAACGTGAAGAACTACCGCCATTTGCGTGATTGATGCCGCGGAAAAGCCAAACTACTTTTGAGCTCACACTGGCTGCTGCAATAATTGTAATTAAAATTCCAACACGGAATGGAAACTTTTACAGCATAAAAAATCGAAAAAAACGTGACATGTAATAGTTTTACCTCTTTGAAAATCATTGGTATTTCGGTGTAATTGCGATTAGGTAAAACCTGTAATTTTAGGATGGCGAAAAATGAACAGATGATAATAGAAAGAATTTTAGAAAAAGATTGAATTTAGAAATATATGTAAATTATCAAAAATAAAGGAAATTTATATATAAAATAATATTAAAATATTACAATAAATGTCTAATAAAAATTGAAACAACTAAATGAGGTTTAATTACCCGAATTTCAAGTAATAAAATAGACTTTAAAAAATCTCGATGTAAAAAGACTTGTTTTCAGTCAACAATATGAATTTGTAAAATACTTTCAGGATTGAGCTTTACAAAAAAAAATTCTTGTAGAAAAACATTTATCCAACAACATGTCATAAATTAGAAATTAATATATTTTTGTAATAAAAAATATTTTATAATTTATAAGACTTTTCAAAATTAATTAGTTTTTTTAAATTTTCAAGAAACGTATGAAATCTATTGAAATTTTACAAAATTCTACAACATTAGCTGCCTAAACAACTTCATGCACTTGTTGCTTCACAAATTTAATAAAAATAGTTAGCTTTATTTGAGAAATAGTTTTTATTTTAATTACTAACAGCAAACGTACAATCTAGAGTGATTAAATTGCTCTATAGTAAGCTATGACATTTATACCTTCAAAGCACTAAAATAAATTTCGAACGTCTCAATGCAAAGGAATGATTATTATGAGTGATTTTTCATACTTTAGTAAAAGCACGTGTAACTGAAGCTGACTCATTAAGCATAATTTTCTTAAACAAATTCCATTTATTCTCAGAAAAGCTAATTTACCTTTGGGATAATGAAGCGTGCAAAATGCAATTAATTAACTGCAAGAGCAGTCTGAATACCAAGCTGTTCAAATATCCATAACCTGAAACATTTCCATCGTACGTGCCGCTAACTTCCACCCCCTTATATTGACAAATTTTAAATTCCGTCTTAAATAACAGAATTAATTCAAATCCCTTGACATCAAAGAATAGTGAAGATTTCATTGTAATAATTCTAAGCCCTTAATTTTGCATCCAAATATTTCTGATGCGAAAACGAGCCAAAGTATATCCATCTATTCCTTCTCTCGGAAGTTGGTTACCGGAGTCGGATTTTAATTAAATCCGGGATATCCGGAACTCTTTGCGCATCCTGCAGGTGAACCGCGTGCGACTTTTCGGATCGAATTAATCAGGTTAGGAGAAAATTGGGGCGTACAGAGCATTGCGATGAATATACGATGTTGCCCAAGAGCCAAACCCCTTCTTTATTTGAGAACTTGGGTCAGTTGTTTGATGAGAATTCAACAAAGCGACAGTGTTAAAAATAGACTTAATGAGGAAAATGATGGACAAATAGAAAGGTGTTGGAACATCAAAGTTGCTACATTTACTGGCTAAATATCAAACAGAGTATGAAAGAAAAAAATATGGAAGAACAACCTGCAAATCATTTGATGCGGAATTTTTAGAAAAAGAAACAGAAAGAAAAGCTTGCATATTTGATACGTACTTTTTAAGACACATCCATTATTTATATGAAAAAGACACATCCAAGTATTAACATTATAATTATGACAATAAACTGATATTGCAAGAAAAATTTATACAAAACTCAACCCTTCAATAATTCATTGTTATGCGAGAGGGTTTTTTGCAGTGGTGATACTGCTATACAAGCCAGAAGGCCTTCCAAGTATTCGCTACGCCCTGCCCAAATATTTTGCATATTTAAAATGTAATTTTCAAAGGTTTTTTGCAGTAGTAACACTGCTGTACAAGCCATTAAGCCGCCCTATTACTTATTACACGGTACCCAAAAATTTTGCATATTTAAAGTGAAATTTTCAATTGATATTTGTATATTTTTGATAAAGAATGCATCAAATTAAATTTGAAAAATTACCTTATGATGTCCAGAAGAGTTGGCTGGATCCGCATTCTGGCACAAGTCACTCACTCACTACACTAAAAGTCAAATATACAAAAAAAACACTCGCACTAACGAAACCGAAATTGTAATGATCTACAATTATACACGACGCGAATTGAAAAACTTTTGCCGAACAGTACATAGTTTTTTATAAATAACATATATTTTGATCACGTTTTTGTGTCCAGAACAGTAAATAAATATTCTATTCGGATTTAACTTGATGTCGGTAATTTTAAGTACAAGAAATTCATTGGCAAACTGCTTCTATCCAAAACCTGCAAAGGAAAAAAATCGAAATTAGTAATTTTTCAAATGTTTTAAGCACGTATAAATATTCATAGTCAAACAAAAATAATTAATATATATATATATATATATATATATATATGCATCTAATATATTGTTCGAAATTCTCATAAATCATCAAACAATATACAAGTAGTTACATCTCAAACTGCTTTTGGCATTTATCTTACCAATGTATTAATCAGAAATTGCATTTAATCAATGTTACACTACAAACTTTGCGAAACCATAGTAAATAATTGATAATATTGTAATTAGTAATTGCACGATGCATACAATAGTAAACTGCATTAGATATATATAGAGCAGTAGTAAATTTAATATTTTCTTGCAAAAAAAGAATCAGTTTTTGCTATCAGTAGGCCTTGATTTAGTTTTTAGGAATTATCTTTAATGGTAAATAGATAGATATTTTATCAGTTTTTAAGTATTAAGAAAGAAGGGTGAGATAGCGTTGCCATAGAATTGGTCCTTTAATATGTGTTATCAAGAGATAACAGATATATCGTTGTCATAACATATCTGTTTACCATAGAATTGTCCCCAATATTGGAAGAAAAAGATTGTATCAATTATTATAACTCCGGAGCAGTATTGTAATACCAAATGATCGTTTTACATCAATATTTATTGTCAAACTGCACAATTTTCCTTATCACAACTCCTATTTTCCAAACTGGCCCAATCAAGTGATACATTAGAGTTGATTGAATGATTGATCTTCCCCGAAGCGTAATTTATTGTGCTAAATTCTAAGATATTTCCAAGACATCCATCCATCCTGCTGGTGTGTGTATGTTGGCGAACAACCCGATATTGATGAAAAGTTTGGCGCCGTCTATTTGCATCCCGCGCGGAAACGGGATTAACATCCGTTATTGAGCAGTGATTGATCGTCTAGCAAATTGAACGCCCATTAAAATTCATGCATCACTATCGCATCAGATTAATTCTAATATTTCTCGAACGCACTCCGGCATGTGAAAGACGTAAAGGATCGATAGATCCGTAGTAAGGCTCTTTCCGCACCAGATGGTAAATAATTCTCCACACCAGCTCATGTGGAAACTAATAATATCTCACAGAAAGCACTTGGTATCACTTGAATTCAGTATCTAGAACTGCCGTGCCAAAAGGATATGTGTGGTTCCTTATTATCATTTCATTTCTGATAATGGCAGCCTAGGTTACAGCCATAGACCTTGAATGGTTTCAGGTTGAATAAAGTTTTAAAATCTTATTTTAGCAAATACGAGTATGTACAAAAAATTCTCAGGACCATGTGCTTGCCTGCAGCATTGCTTTCATTTTCACTAATTGTAGGATTTTTATTTAAATTCATGTTGGGACTTCAGTTTTTACTAAGATTAATGAAGCCTTCTGCAATTTGACTATTAGAACTATACATCATCAATATTTTCATAAATATAGATTAATTTACTGAGATACAAATATAAGAATTGTTTTTGAAATCGGAAATCTGATTGAACAACAGATTAATGGAGGCAAAGTTGAGTAAATAGAAAGGTGAAATTTTAATTTCAATATATGCACTAAAAAGATCTGGTAGTATAATTGTATATTGCACTTATATTTTACACATAAAAATATATACATTCGAAATTTAATTTTAAAAAATGATTCACATGAGTATTTCTGAACTTTTGAATAAAAAAATTATAAAGTAATACTGAACGCATTAAAATCGTAAGCAACTTGAGTAAAAGTGTGCTTTAGTGCATAACACATTAGGTTTTTCTCTCAAACTGAGTTTAAAACCCATTTTCCTAAAGTGTCGTTTACGTAATTACAGCCACAATAAACTATCGTTACCCAATTTCGGCAACTTAAACTCCCTAGTCGTTTGCAACTAAAGTATAAATTACCTAAACGGATTAAATCAGATTACTATCATAATCAGATTAGTGTGAAACCAGATCAAACGCTTTCGTTCCGATGTGGTAAATGTAACTTCCTTCTTCCCATCTTCGATTTTTTATAAGAAGCTCCCAGTTTTTCACAACAACAGTGTTATTTATGACGATACACTTTGCTAGTATAGGATATATTATGAATGATACCGAGCCGCTGGAGTCGGGTTTTAAATCAATCATTTATATTGTATGGGCGCGGATGAATATCGAAAGCGAATTTATATTTTAGGCGATGCTTTCGACGGAAAACGAGCAACAAAGTTTGTATCTAAATCATTATACACAGTAATAACGAAATTTTAAAAAATATTGTAGAAGAAATTGTTTTAATCTATTGATTTTAACATGCTAAAGTTTTGATGATAAATGTAGGAACAAAACAGTCTTGAACCATTTTTATCAAAGATCAAAAATATGTTTTCAATGGCAATAGAAAATCTCACACTATTATTCTTAATTTTTATTTTACCGCAAAATAGTTAAAATAAAAAAGACATATATATATGATTAATAATTAAATATATAGAATATCGATATTTAAATTTTTTTACAAACATTCAATTGAATTGCAAATGTAAACAAAGGTGATTGCGTATCAACTGCATCCGATACCTGTTCAAAGCATTCAGGTTCGCACACAATCTACATGTTACTTGCATGATTTGGATAAGTGCGCAAATACGGGTTGTATTCAACCATTCCAAGGTCAACAAACAATTAGAACATTTAGAATAAATATATGATGCATTTTCTTAAAAAGTCTTGAAATGAAACTCCCTCTAAAATGAGTAGAATGCTTGGGAACGGCGAATAAAATATTCCATAAAACAAGCATGGATAAATGAATCATTTTAGCATATTTTTACTGGACACGTACGCACACATACATTTATATAATAATAATAAATGGTAGTGGTAAAGGATTGAGGTAGTGATAAATGATTTCCTCACCCTTTAACCTATTACCACTATTTTTAAATATATTTTCCTTTCCAAACTTCTATTTCCATGGTTCTTGATCCTGTGCTTCGGTTTTCAGTTTCCTATTTAGTATTTTCTCTTCTCGCGTAAGTCGTCAATCGTCTGCATACTTCTTCCCATTCCCTTCATTCCTTCTATTTTACCATCGACGACGTCGTGCAGGAAGCACTCTTTTTGCAAAAGTGCGATCTAGATTTCTTTTCTTCTCAGAATTGTGCTCAGTAGCACAATTGTACACACACACACATATATATATATATATATATATATATATATATATATATATATATTCCTCAATGCGATTTTAATACAAAACTAATCAGTTATTATGTAGCAATGCTCCTGAAAGCCTATTTTTACTTGCAATCATATTTCAGTTCAATTATCTCAAAGAAAAATCGAATACATATAATCACTGCTTGATATCAAGCTGACCGAGCTTGACTCGACCCCTGAACTTGTGGTTGCAAGGGGAAGATCATACCACGGAGTCACGACTGACTTCCCTCTTTATCGTATCATGTATTAGTATATTGCATGAGCTATGAATATTGTAACACATAATATTATAACAAAAGTTACTAAAGGAGAATCAATTTAGCATATTTTTACGGAAGTAACACGCACACGCACACACACATATATATTCCTCTGTGTTATGGAATTTTAAATTAAAACTAACAAGTTATAATGTAGCAATGCTCCCGAAAGCCTATTTTTATTTCAGTTCTATGATCTCAAAGAAAAAATCTAATACATATAATCTCTGCTTGATATCAAGCTGACCGAGCTGCAAATCGACCCCAGAACTCGTGGTTGCAAGAGGAAGATCATACCACAAGGTCACAACTAACTTTCCTATTTATCATATTATGTGTTAATGCATTACATGAACTACGACTATTATAATACATAATTTACAATATTATAAGATAAGGTACTAAGGTAGAAATATTTACCCAAATGATTTGAAGATATCTTCTTAACTAGTCAAGAATATTATATTTCTTATATAAATTATGATATACTACTTAAATTTACCTGAATTTGTAGTACACTAAATTCGCGTCCATGCGAATCTATCAAATAGTCTACGAGTCCTACAAATCATATCAGTTTTACATCAAGGACATCACAAAACATGGATTGCCAATGGCCGACACAAAGCTGATCTCTTATTCAATTGCACTGATTGTCTCTTAACAACCGAACTAAATTTACACAATACACATCAAATTGTTCATTACACACAATACGCAATTAAAACAGCATTTGCACATCTATTAAATCAGTCAAAACACGAGTTTTTGGCTATAAGTGCACTAAACCGCATGGCTAAAATTGTCTAAAATGGATGCCCAAAAGGCACTCGGTTTGCTGAAGACACATGTAATAAATAGTACAAAATGCTTTTACCATTAAGTAATAAACATAATTTTATTAAAAACAATGATAAATGATGAGGTATATAATATAAGTTTGCATGATGGATCGATTTGAATTATTATTACGATTTATTTAGTTCCATTACATACATACTGCAGTTTATTTAGTTGTGCACACCTCAAACTTCAAGGTTAGACTGTCGAGAGGGGATGCATGGCATGTGCATGGAATTTTTGGGTGTCGCATTTTTACGACGGCAAATTTTGAAACTATTCTAAATTGATATATCTATACTGTAAAAGAGCGGGGTATTCAAATTTTCAAATTTAACTTTGAGTGGTGATTTTGAAATTATTATATTGATTTAATTTACGCAAGAATATATTTATCCAGGTGTAAGTAATGATATTCATGCCGTTGTACTATCTATTCATATGTATATTGTAAAAACATTGAGGTGAAA